TCCTGGTGAACTTGGAGGTCTTTATTCGTACTGCTTTTGCTGCGAGGACCTCCGTTGTTGCCGTCCTTTTTGACCTGGAAAAGGCTTACGACACCACTTGGCGATATCATATTCTATCTCAACTTCATTCTTTTGGCCTTCGTGGTCATCTCCCTCTCTTTCTCCGCAGCTTCCTCTCTCGTCGTTCCTTTCGGGTGCGCCTTGGTACCGCTCTCTCTGCCTCTTTTCAGCAATACGAAGGTGTGCCCCAGGGTAGTGTTCTGAGCGCTACTCTTTTTCTGGTTGCCCTCAATGGTCTTCTTTCCTCTCTTCCTTCAGGTGTCTTCTCCGCTCTCTATGTCGATGATCTTACCCTTTGCTGTCAGGGTGATGATTCGCCTTTCCTTCAGCGCCGGCTTCAACTTGCAATTGATGCCATGTCGTCTTGGGCCACCGATCATGGCTTCAAGTTCTCTACTTCTAAGACTTGTGCCATGACTTTTACGCGGGAACGGGTCGTTCTTCGTCCCTCTTTGTCACTTTATGGTCATCCCCTTGAGTACAAAGATTCCGCGAAGCTTTTGGGGTTATTCCTTGACACTCGTTTGTCTTGGTCTCCCCATATCTCTTACCTCCGTGTTGAGTGCTCTAAGGCCCTTACCCTCCTTCGGGTCTTGTCCCATACTTCTTGGGGGGCAGATAGGCGCACTCTCCTTGCTTTACATTCCTCTCTCGTCCTGTCTAAGCTCGATTATGGTTGCCCTGCTTACTCGTCTGCTTCTCCTTCTACTCTTCGCCGTCTTGATGCTTTGCACCATACTGGGTTGCGCCTCAGTTCTGGTGCCTTTCGTTCGACTCCCGTCCTTAGCTTGTATGTTGACACTTGCTTCCTGTCTCTCCAAGACCGCCGTGATCGCTACTGTCTTCGCTATCTTGCGCGGTCCTTACAACATCCTTCCTCTCGCCTCTGTCGTGCTTTAATAACTTTTACCCCTCCTGCGGTTCCTGTTCCTCGTCACCACCTCCCTCTTTCTGTCCGGTTATCTCGCCTACAGGATTCTCTTTCCGTTCATATTTCTAATGTTTCTCCTCATGTTGTTCCTTCTTTGCCCCCGTGGAGAGTCCCTCTTCCGCGGTTTTGTACTTCCTTGACCCGTATCACTAAAGCTTTTACCCCTCCTACGGTTCTAAAATGCCTTTTCCTTGAGCACTTTTCTTCTCACTCCCGCTCCATTTCTGTCTTCACCGATGAGTCTAAGTCTGCGGACGGTGTTGGCTACTCTGTTGTTTTTCCTGATCGCACTTATATGTGTCGCTTACCTCCGGATACTAGCATCTTTACAGTGGAGCTTTATGCTATTCTCTTCTCTATGCTCTTCGTCTCCTGCTTTCTCGTTGTCAGTCTTCCTTTGTAGTTGTTGTTGAGTCTCGTAGTGCCCTCATGGCTCTCGGGTCCTTTAATCCAGTTCATCCAGTAGTTGTTGAGATCCAGCATTGGCTGTTTCTTGTTCACAGTAAATTTAAGTCGGTTGAGTTTTGTTGGGTTCCCAGCCATATTGGTGTGTCTTTAAATGAGCGTGCGGATGCTGCCGCCAAGGAAGCTGTCCGCTCTTGTCCCGTCTCTCGTAAAGGTATTCCATATTCCGACTTTTACCCGGTTATCCATTCCTCCGTCCTTACCCGTTGGCAGGCTTCTTGGTCGTATGTTACTGGTAACAAACTACGTACTCTTAAATGTTGTGTTTCCTCGTGGCCGTCCTCCTACCACCGTAACCGGCGATGGGAAACAGCTCTGGCGAGGTTACGTATTGGCCATACTCGCTTAACCCATGGTCACTTGATGGAGCGCCGCCCAGCTCCTTATTGTCCTAGTTGCATTGTCCCTCTTACGGTCGTGCATGTCCTTGAATGTCCTGACTTCCAGGACGAGCGTGTGTCTTGCTTTCCGACCACCCCTCGCGGTCACCTGTCTTTCAATAGAATTCTTGGTGACTCGGATACTTTTGATATCGTTCGCCTTATGCGTTTTTGTTCTCGTATTGGCATCCTTGGTGATATTTAGCGCCCTCTGATTATCCCACACATATGATGGTGCTACATAGCCTTCCCGGTTTGGTGCCTTCTTTTGATAATTACTTACTTCCAACCATACTAGAGAGAATCATGCAAGTCAACACGACCTTTTGCCTTAAAGTCATGAAAGACCCTACATCTCCTGCATTGCTCAGAGACAAATTATTTAATGCTGTTAACACCCTATTGACTGGTGCCGACATACCAACTCATTCCTTTTACGATAAATGGCTGAGCAACAATACCTACAATCTCATTACACTCAGCATTCCTTTTAAGTGCAATCTACCTGTCTCTGATATTCCTCTTTATCTGTACCCCACTATTCAAATAACATACACACCCGAAATTAGCGTGTAACAAAGATAAAGTTGAATTAGATCTAGGTATCCCTATCTCTGCTGTCAAAACTGTATTGGTCCAAACACTCAGGTCAGAAAGGAAAGAAATTACTGACTCCCAACGACCTGAAAGCACTAGTATAAAAAGCAATGATTTGTTCAGATCTGAAACCTATATTTATGGGCAGCACAAAATGTCCACCAGACTGTGCGACACAGTGGTTGTCAGGATCAGGATGGGTTCCTGTTACCTGTGGCAGGTGGCTACAGGTGACGGATCTCCCAATCCTGAGCACTCCAGTTGCAAACTCTGTAAGCAGGAACTGCGGCATGATCTCCCACACTACATCACCGAATGCCCAGTTATTAAACCTTTCAGACCAGTTGGCATGAGATACCTGGAGCTTTGCAATTACTTTATTCACTCTCGTGTTCTTGAAGATATCCTCATAGTGAACCCAAAATTTGTCAGTGCAGGCTACTGAACATATGGCCCTGTATGACTAACCATTATGCGAGATGGGGACTTTTAGTATCACTGCTACCGTATTCACTCTTGTATTCATGATATCCTCATAAAGAACCCCAGAGTCTGTCAGTGCAGACTATTTATCAAATGCCTCTGTATGACTAACCATCCTGTGTGATGGGAATTTTTTAGCATCACGTAGCTAGCTTTTTGACATTGTACTCCCCTTCATATAGTCTCGGTAGCTGCACAAATACAGATGTACCTAATGTATTAATAAAACCAAAATCCAGACGGAGTACAATTAACACTATCAACCACCAGAGGAGGTTGTGGCTAGCAAGCCAAACGTTAACTGTACATATTTAAATTTCTTTATATATATTTTTTCTAAGTGTATATTATATATGTCAGACTACAAAAAAATCTAAAAAATACAGCACTAATATAGTAAAACATTTTGCACTGCACATTTTTGCATTTATGCCAACCCAAAGGGGTTGGACTTTAGACTGGAATTGTACTAAGGTATGTACAAATCTATCCTAAACTACTTAGCTACTTTTTTAGGTAGGATTGACTTCCAACTAATACTGTATTAGACAGTACTGGCACATTATTATTTAATATTGTGCTGACCCTGAACATGGTGGGATTTATTATTTACATTAATTGTGTAATTCTTTATTATTTGTGTACCTCTCTTGGTGCTACTGTGTCACTATACCAACTTAAAGGTGATAATGAAGAGCTAGCCCCATGGTGTAACCGTAGTGGCACCTAAATATCACTCAAATCTTAGCTATTTACTGTTAGGTAGGTCAGGTAACCTCTAGGTGAGGTAGTACATAGCCTAATCAAAAAATATTAGGCTATCATCACGATGCTTACAACTAATGAACGAGTGTCCAAGTAACATCAGTAACAATTACTCAAGCTCTACAAAGCTTGAATATAAAGTCTCCATGGCTACTCACGAAAAATTGAAGAGATCACTAATTGGCCTCAAAGGTCATTTAACCCGATTGCTTAATAAGTCAGAAAACTTATCTAAGGCAACCCTAGTTGATTACCATCAGTTAGAAATATCTCTGAGAGTAGCTGATCTCAAATTCGAACAAGTCAAGACTATGACTGGGTCTTACATCAGTATATTAACTGATAGTGACACTGATCCTGATGAATAGATCAAGCTATAGCAGAAACATTTCAATATGAAGATGACACCCAAGACAAATTTAATGTTCTACTTGATTTAGTAGAAAAACATAAAGTAACTCCAAACGTTGCTGTATCTCAATCCCAGTCCCGTACAAGCAGAGGCACATTTTCCTTCTTTGGACTTGCCCACATTTGCTGGACTGGATGAAGAAAATTGGGATACATTTTGGATATCATTTAATGCTCATATACATTCTAGAACAGTGCTATTCAACCTGGGGTGGACAGTCCACCTTATAGTGGACAAGATTGAGGGGTGGACAGCTGTCTAGGTATGGACTACTGGGTGGACGAGATCCTCACCTTCACGTGTCTGTATAATGTACAAGAGACTCTCTTTTTCTTTCTCTCTTTCCTATATTTCTTAAAATACATATTTACCTATTGTAACATCGAGGTTTCCACCTCGCCTTCTCGCAAGACCCCGATAGTACAACCACGCGAGGGGACTGTCTCGCCATTGGTTGTCACGAATCACGCAGCTGAGTTCCCGCTCTCAATTGGCTGAATTAGCAACACTGTCAACTGTGGACTCGGGGAGTGGTGAATGGTATATCAGTTATTACTGCAGTGTAACTGTACTTGTTCACTTCACGTTGAACAGTGAACCTGCACCTCTTGTGACTCCTGTGTGTAAGTAATACTTATTATTATTATTATTATTATTACAACTTACCTTTAATACAATCTTAGGGGAACTAATTGGTTTTGTTATTATATTTTAAAATTATATTTAAATCAAGTATTATTTCCACATAAATTCTCATTAGTTATTTTGTCTTAGTACTGTGTCGTTCCCATTTTGATTAGTTTGGTTTCAGATTTTATATTTGAATTAATAAGCATTATTATAACAAAAAAACTAATTCATCCTTATTTATTTTCCAGATTTCAACATTATTGCTCAACTTTTGCAGGTCATGTCAATTTACAAGTACTTCAAAAAAGATTGATGACAATCCTGAGCCTGCAAAACCTATTGCAGTTGGTGAAGCAGCTGATGCAAGAAGAAAAGGTGATGTTTCAAATCAAGATGGAGCTGCATCACAGGACCTCACAGAGTAAAAGGAGGCTTCCAAAAAGGATTCATCTTCATCAGATAAAAAGCTACGAAAACGGTGGAATGATGAGCACATTGTATTTGGATTCTTCCGGCCAGTACATGAAGCTTCAAAACCCTTCCCACCAGACAAGTGCTTCTTTTGTAATGTACAGTAATGAAAATGTTGTTCCTTCAAAACTTGCGCGGCATTTAAAGACGAAGCATCCTGAACACCAAAACAAATCTAAGCAATTTTTTGAGGCAACTTTGGAAGCATACTTGAAGTAACAGTCGAACTCTAAAAGTCAAGTTAAGCCTTCTGACATGAAAACACCTACTCTTGCTTCTCTTAAGATGACACACATTGTTCTTCAGAAAAAAGCCATTTACTGAACTTAAAAATGTAGTACTGCCGTGTCTTGAAGTAGCAGCTGACCTTATACATGGAGGGAAAGATGCAGTGAAGAAAGAGAAGCAGATTCCGTTGTCTGATACTACAATAAGTCGTCGGTCTGTGATGTTAGCAGATGACCTGAAGGAACAGCTTGTTAAAAAAGTGCGTCTAGCCGCTTCGTTTGGCATTCAACTGGATGAAACCACAGACATAGAAGGAGAAGCACAGCAGATTGTTTACAGTCGGTTATCAGACTTACAAGAGAAAACCATTGTTGAACATTATTTGTGGTGCCTCCAACTGGCCGTAGAAACAACAGCACACAACATTTTTCAGAAACTTCATGATTTCATTATTGAAGAGGGCATTGACTGGTCAAAATGCTAGTCTGTTACTACTGATGGTGTAAAATCTATGGTCAGTGCAATCAATGGCGTTGTAAAGAAAATCCAAGTGGTCTCACCAAATTGTATCGCAATTCACTGCGTGATTCACAGGGAAATGTTAGTCGGAAAGCGACTGAATGAAGCTAGAAATGCTAAGGAGAAAAGTGACTTTGAGCTTCTACTTGATGTTGTCAAAATAGTTAATCATATCTGTGCACATGCAAAAAAGCATAGAATGTTTCGTGAGTTGTGTAAGGATATGGAAGCTAATTTCACAAAACTCCTCCTTCATATTGAAGTACGTTGGCTATCTCGGGGGAAGGTTCTTAATCGAGTGTATGCATTGAGAGAGCAGCTCTGTGTTTTCTTTATTGAGGAAGCAAACCCCATGGCAGTTAAATGCTAGGATGTGCTCTGGCTGGCAAAATTGTCTTACATGACTTCATTGTGACACCTACATGCAAAATTGTCCTACATGGATCACTGTGATGTTCTTTTGGAGCTTCGAGCGGATTATTCACAAAAAGCAGTTTTCAAGACATTTAGCCATCCTATGGATTTCTGGGTTACCCTGCTTGATATTCCAGAGTACAAGGATCTAGCTGAGCAGGCAATAGCCAGATTTGTACAGATGCCAACATCATATTTGTGTGAGCAAGGGTTCTCTAGTTTAGTTTTGGTGAAGACAAAGAAAAGGAATGCAATCATTAACTTGGATCCTCTCATGCGAGTTGCACTTGAAAATCGTCTGACACCTGGATTCAACCCAATAACAGACAAAATGCAACAGCAGTCAAGCCACTGATTTTTTTAAAGGATAACCATTTGTTTTATTTATTGATATCGTACCAAATATAGCAAACATTGTCTGCAATTTTACTTTAGTGAAGGAAAATACGTCAAAATGACATGCTTAATGTTATCTTGTGTATTTTGAGCCTCTTAGTTTGAGATGAGGTGTGTAAATATATGGATGAATATGTAAATGTTATATAAAAATAAGAGAAACTTGTTTTTTCTGTTTACATAATCATAGAAACAAGATATGAAACATAGATTTTAAATATTAAAAACGTAAGATTTTTAATGAGACTTTTTCGGGGTGGGGTGGACAGCTTCTACTTAATCACCACTAGGGGTGGACGACATTTAAAAAGGTTGAAGACCACTGTTCTGAAACATCTATAGATAAAGTACCTAAATTCTCTTACCTTCAAAGTCTCCTCAAAGGTGAAGCCAAGTAGGTGATAGCCAATTTATCTCTGGTAGATAACAATTATGAAGTAGCTATACAATTGTAGGATGTTAATTACTGCAACAAAGGATTAAGTGTAGCTAACTTATTTTATCAACTAGTGTTGTCCACTAGTTGACACCACCACTGTCCATGTGGTAAATATGTCCACCCAGTAACTGACCAGAGTCCCTTCAGAACTTCAGGTTGGAGGTAGAGTCTCTTGTGAAAGCTTCAGGTACTAAAGTCAATGTATCAGCTTCCGAATGGTCACTAAAAAAAATTAGAGAAAATATATTAATTCAGGAAAACTTGGCTTATTAGGCAAATCGGGCCTTGCATAGTAGGCCGAGAAGTGCGTTCTGGCTACTAGGTACGACATATATATATATATATATATATATATATATATATATATATATATATATATATATATATATATATATTAGTATATTTTGGTAGCAGTCTTTCCTGTAGACATATATTATTAAATATGACCGAAAAAGTAAGATTAATAATTCTAACACGAATTTTCTCAATCTTTCGTACATTACGCTTCACTGTTGGAGGTAAATCAAAAATCACTTCTCCAAAATTCATATTTATTTCTAGTCTGACGCGACACGGGCGCGTTTCGTAAAACTTATTACATTTTCAAAGACTTCACAAATACACAACTGATTAGAACTTACGTCTCTCTGATATTATATCTACATTTGAGTGAGGTGGGAAGGATGATGTGGCATTAACACAAGACAGAACAGGGGATATTAATAGGGTATTAAAAGTATCAACACAAGACAGAACAGAAACAATGGGTATTGAATAGAAGTGTTTGTAGAAAGCCTATTGGTCCATATTTCTTGATGCTTCTATATTGGAGCGGAGTCTTGAGGTGGGTAGAATATATTTGTGCAATAATTGGCTGTTGATTGCTGGTGTTGACTTCTTGATGTGTAGTGCCTCGCAAACGTCAAGCCGCCTGCTATCGCTGTATCTATCGATGATTTCTGTGTTGTTTACTAGGATTTCTCTGGCGATGGTTTGGTTATGGGAAGAGATTATATGTTCCTTAATGGAGCCCTGTTGCTTATGCATCGTTAAACGCCTAGAAAGAGATGTTGTTGTCTTGCCTATATACTGGGTTTTTTGGAGCTTACAGTCCCCAAGTGGGCATTTGAAGGCATAGACGACGTTAGTCTCTTTTAAAGCGTTCTGTTTTGTGTCTGGAGAGTTTCTCATGAGTAGGCTGGCCTCTTTTTCTGGTTTTATAGTAAATCGTCAGTTGTATCCTCTGATTTTTGTCTGTAGGGATAACGTTTCTATTAACAATATCTTTCAGGACCCTTTCCTCCGTTTTATGAGCTGTGGAAAAGAAGTTCCTGTAAAATAGTCTAATAGGGGGTATAGGTGTTGTGTTAGTTGTCTCTTCAGAGGTTAACCTCTGAAGAGACTTTAAATTTATATTGTCTTATTTGACAATATAAATTTTCGTTTCTTAATAATTAAATGAACACTGTTCGATAGAAGAGTGTGCTGTATAGTAATTTAGTCATCCGTGAATGCGCTTGAGTAAAAATTTGTACTTGTATGAATGATTACCAGTTAAGAAACTATATTGTTTAATTGAATATAAACATATTATCAGCTTTAATTCACTGAGTATATTCGTGACAATAGGATTATTAAATGATAATTCACGTTAAAGAATGTGAAATAAGGAGAACTTAATGTAATTTTCGTGATATTTTCCCTTTAGTCGTGTGAGCTGATGCAACACCTGACCAGAATTTCTGGTAAATGAGACGATATTACGCCTTGAAATATTAAACTTAATATTACTAAACAATCTGTTAGTAGAGTTCGTAAATTATATTACACAATACAAGAATTCTTAAACGATTAAACGATTCTTCGCGGCGGGGATCGTATTCCAGGGACCTGCCCGAAACGCTTCGCGTACTAGTGGCTGTACAAGAATGCAACAACTCTTGTATATATTATTGTAGTTTGTGTGTTGGTGGTGTTGTCGTGTTGTTCCTCCTTTGCAGACAACCCAACCCACAACTCGGTAGAGTGCTTATACCTCGCTAGGAGATCACACTTGGCGCTTCTGGCTCTTGGAGAGGGGCTCAACGTCACACGTTTAGGGGATGCGGCTCCAACACTTAGCCTCGTTGTCACGTGCACACACCCACTCGAGCCGCTGTGACTCCCCACTCTCTCCTTAGGTGATATGATCTCCTCAATCCCCCTTTGACTTATTAGTATTACCTTCTACTCTGTCCACAGCAGTGGTTCTTGGTTTTTTCTCTCTCTCTCTCCTTCTGTACTATTTCATGGGAAGCCTCACTAGGACAAGGTCAAATACCAGCAAATTTGAATACATTTACTGGACAAAGCACATACACAATACATATACACATATAATAAAAATGAATCCTATACTCTATACTATTACAATTAGGTTGCTCTCCAACACCATCAGAACTCTATTATCAGTTTACCAAGTGGTATCCTATCTTCTGGTTCACCACCTGATACTATCAACCTCCTCAAGTTGATCAAGTCTACATACACTGTTGCACCATCAGCAAGAGAATATATATATATATCTATAAACGTGTACAAGGAAAATCAGCAAGTGAATGCAATAACATATATCAGTATAAATGTTCCTTGATACACAACAATGATCAATCGATCACCCTATCAGTCCTAGAACACATACATCTGTAGGTAATTTAGCCTACGACTGTGACTCTAAACTTCAGTATAAAACATTCCTTGACATAAAAATGCAAACAATCACTCACCTCTCACTGCGTCTTACACGCTAATGACAACCAAACACTATCAACTCCCTACAAGTAATCCACCAGAACTTCCCTTCTACCTCTGGAAGTTCACTACCCTGATATCTTCAGGTTCTTCCGGCTTAACTACCAGGATCCTTTGCAGCTCCTCCAGGCTGCTACCATGAAGTTTTCTTGAGCAACTATGGTGCTTCACCCTTCTGCTAGGTTCCTCCACAGCTCTCTTGGCTGCTACACCATAAAGTTTCCTCGAGCAACTATGGTGCTTCACCACCTCTACAGAAGCACGTGACACTCCTCTTCACTGCTTCTCCTCACAGCTTGAGGTCCTCTCCTAAACTACCTTGGAGTCTCATCAATTACTTCATCTGTGCTGGCTTCGAAGTTCTCAGCAACTTCTTCCCCAAAGACAAACCTGCAACCTATCGACACTCCAATAAAAATGTTTCCCCTTTAACACATAAACAAAAATAATCACACAATATGTTTGCCTTCAACCTCTATCTGTCCTCTACATACTGTGTGAGTGGACTCCCCCGTTGGGCAGGTCCATGCTCCACCTCGCCCGGCGGGCCTCACTCACTCCGGGAGGGGCCTCCGCCGTCGGGAGCTCTCAGTCACCTGCCAGCGCTCAGAGGGGAGCCGGACGTCGCTCTGTGTTCCTCCCTCTCCACTCTCTTATTTTAGGCTTTCTGCCTTATCAAAACATGTCTAACTTATAAATAAACATCGCTACTGTCGCTGGGCACACGACCAACTACAAGCAATCACAATGAACTGGCTTAAATCGTGCTTACCACAGATTGTCTAGTCTAGGGCGCTCCTCCCTCTGACGAAGCCTGGTCAGGGCGCTGCCACGGCCCACGATAATGCCTCTGGGCGGTTTAATAAACACTCCTCGTCGCCCAGGACTTGAGACCACACTTCCCCAGCTCGATTCCACAGCAGGTACGTCTGCACACTTCTCTTCTCTTCGAGATATATCACTAGGGGATCCTTTCTGATGGGAGCTCAATGGAGCGCGGCTTTCCCCCTGCGATGTCTGGCCTCAAGTGAGATCAAAGCCCTCCAGAAGCAAGCCTCACGCCTCCAGCAAAATGTCCACATCTCCTAGCCAGTCATTTATCTTTTTTCTTCTTCACTGCCCATAATCTTAAATTGTTATTTAAATCCAACCAACTATTTTACATATGTGTTATCACCTCCATATTTCCTAGCCCTTCCGGTTAGGTAAGGCTTGCTGAATAACTCTCAAGGGGGAGACTCGTTTCTCCTGCAGGCTGAGATCATAACACTCCCCTCCCCTTATTTTTGAGAGTTATTCCAGTCGCAAAGCTCGGGATAATACATCCGCCA